CCTCTCTAGGTATTTCACAGAACCCTTGGTGCAAATTAAACATGCGTAGCATACTGTAACGTTACATGTGCCCTGCCCCTCCCCCCATATCGTCGCCTACTTCAAAATCCGGGTCTAAAACCGTGTATATCGTCGCGGGTCGGGAAGAATCGATGCCCCAGACTGCCATAGGATGTCCTCAAAATGTTCTTTGGAATTATTCGCTTGTTCATGCAAATAAACAACGGGGCACTTACCGGGGAAGATCGAAGACGAGGTGGTTCTGTTGTTGGGGGCAGATGTTGTAAGGGCAATATTAACATAATCTATGCAGGATTTCTATTAATTAATTTTATCACTAACGGGCCCGTTATTGATTAATAAACGCACCGGACATTGTAAGCATAAAAACTAAAACAAATTTGAGACTGAAGTAAACAAAAACGACAGCGAATGTGACCCTTGACCTATAATAGGGGACCGTCCATTCTTCAACAGGGCAGGGGTGACACGTATTCTTCCGTGCAGCGAGCTTTCGTTGCGCGCAGCGAGGTCGCCGAGGAAGCTCTTTCTGTGCAGGCGTGAGGAAGCTCGTGGCAGGCACGACGCAGGTATTCGTGCGCAGACGAGGAAGCTCTTTCTGTGCAGGCGTGAGGAAGCTCTTGGCAGGCACGACGCAGGTATTCGTGCGCAGACGAGGAAGCTCTTTCTGTGCAGGCGTGAGGAAGCTCTTGGCAAACACGACGCAGGTAGTCGTGCGCAGACGAGGAAGCTCTTTGCAGACATGACGCAGGTATACGCGCAGGCGACGCAGGTGTGCGCGCAGGCGACGCAGGTGTGCGCGCAGGTGACGCAGGTTTGTCCTTGTCGGCCACGGTAGAAATAAGAATGAAAAGTTATTAGCTTACATTTTATACGAGCGTTCGCTGTTTTTGTTTACATCCTCATGATGCATGCGATTGGTTGATTGCCTGGTTGATTATATAAGTTACTTGAACATACATGCAAATTATCGGCAGGCAATGAACCAATCGTCACCCGCTATTTGGCCGTGTCGTCATTGCGATCGCTTACCGACACATTTGGCGGGAGATCCCGTCCAGTCTCCGTCCTTGGTGCACAGGCTGAGGTTGTCCCCCAGCAGATCGTAGCCAGGATCACACCGCACGGCACAGGCCGAGTTAAACACATTATTACAGGTGTCCTGCACGAAGTACCCGCGTTCAGGGGGTGATAGGGCAGGGCACGTCACCACTGCCATGGAAAACAACATGGTGATCACAACATGCATGAGCGATAGTAGATATAGCCTCCCAGCTAATCTCCAGGGAGATCTTTTGGTTGCTACAGCCTACGTACAAGACAATACAATGTCAAATTTGCAGGGCAGCTGTATCCAATACGTCACTGCAGTTTGGCTAGCAAAAAAATCGGTACCAATATCGGTACAAAAAAAAACGCTTAAAAAGACGTAAAAGGAAAAGAAGTCAACTTGAAACAAGCCAAACTTAAATCTCTACTTCCTAGTAACTCTCCAAAGTTACACTGCCAGATTTTTTTTTGGTAAATTGCAAGGATTTGTTCTTTGAAATATTGAATTATGAACGAAGAATTTTATATGAATTAAGTTGCTTTGTTGAGGTTTCATGTTCATGGTCAAACACCTGCAAACGTCTTCAACTTTGTGTCAAAAGACGCCAAGTTTGTATGCTTTTCAAAGCACAGGCAGACTGACACCTGCATCTGTACGTGGAAAAAAACACTTTAGAGGTCGACAAGGATCGTTAACTTACACCAGAATTGGCACGCCATTCAAACCCACAAAACATTATAGACAGCACACAAGAGACAAAGCGGCCCAAGTCTACCATATCTGCCAACACGTAGCCTCTGCAATGTTGTTGACGTCACATCCGAAACTATAATTGATGTTGACCAAGGTATGATATCAAGTGGTTGTTAGAAGTGCCACACCATGTCTACATGTAGTTATAAGGGCTGCTTTGATATAGCATGCCCGTAGCCAGTGGGGGTTCGGAAGAACTCCCCCACAAGGCTCAAAGGTCCACTTTTTGGTCCACTTTTTATGTAAAGGTCCCCTTTTTGGTCCACATTTTATGTAAAGGTCCACTTTTTGGTCCACATTTTATGTACAGGTCGAAGATTTTTCTTGAAAAGATGGACTGGAATCGTAGAAAAACTGCTCCCTTTGTCATTGACTAAAAATTTATCTCTGATTTTTTTCTTGAAAATCCTCTAAAAAATGCACGAAATGCCATTTTAGAAGGTTCATTTTTCAAAATTTTCCAGGGGAGCATGCCCCCGGACCCCCCTAGGAACCTCGCATATGGCGCTCGAGGTCCCCTCAAGCAGTGGGATGAACCCCCCCCCCCATTCAAAATCCTGGCTATGGGCATGATATAGTGTGGTTGAATGTCATCTGATATGAGCGTACGTGTGTCTGGCCTGACAATATTTTACTCTACTTGTTCAGCATTCTGTCCCGTCGTTTCTAGACGGAGAAATTATGATTAATCGCCGGTAATATCTGCGGAGTGCTGCCGTCTGGCGGAGCACGTTCCCGGCATACCTTGGCAGTGCCCCCCGCCGTCGTCCCGGTACCCGGCCTTGCACCTGCACTGCTGCGTGGATGTAGCTGCCAGCGGGGTCACGTGGTGTAGGTCCGGACACTTCAGGCAGGTGTTGATCCCTCCAGGTGCGGCGACTGGTTTGTACGTCCCAGTGGGGCAGGCTGTTAGGGGGGGGGGCGAAAACAGTTGGGAACATCAGCAATGTCTTATTTGTGTCTTCAGAGAATAAGCTTACATTTGAAAAAAAAAGAAGATATGTACAGTGTTGTTTACGTCGGTGAAGGTTAGACATCCAAGTAATGAGATACACACAAAAAAAACACTCAAACAACTGCATATGATTTTGGAAACAGTCTACCTTTCGTCATTGACACTGGAGAATTCTCAGAAAAGCGCAGTTTTATAAGTATGAAATAGTATTAGTGTTACAGTAATACAGCAGGCTCTCTTACAACATAGCCAGATTCAGTATTGTTAGCTTGTAACGGTCGCTGTAACACCACAAACTACCGTCCGTGGCTTTACCAGGACGTTGGGATGTTCGGGCGGCGATATAGTAGGCATTTCATCGGTCTCGTAGGACCATGAAGAAGAATCATCTTCTACATCATGTACTTATTTTTTTTGCTTTACGCTTAAAGCGTCTGTGTTCTGATTGGTATCTGTAGCTTGTTCTCAGTGTGGGCTGCAAGTGCAGCGTCGTCTGCAAATAGCAGGTCTCTGATAAGTACTTCTCGTACTTTGGTTTTGGCTTTTAGTCTGGACAAGTTGAAAAGCTTCCCATCTGATCTGGTGTGGAGGTAGACTCCCTCAGTTGATGTACCAAACGCACATTTCAGCATGACTGCAAAGAAAATGCCAAACAAGGTTGGAGCCAATACGCAGCCCTGCTTTACTCCACTGCGGATGTCAAAGGCTTCAGAAGAGGATCCATCAAACTGGACGACTCCTTTCATGCCTGTGTGGAAGGACTGGATCATTCTGAGAAGTTCTTGTACTCGTATATCGTACTCGTAAAGCGATTTAACCAGGCTAACAGGCCCGCGACTAAGTTGGCTTCCAGGCTATTAGTTGCTACAGAGCAGACTCTCTCCTATGGGAATTGTCACTTTCCTCTCAGTGAGTGTTGCTCCTTGTCTACACTGCTTATCAAAACATCTATAAAAGGCATCGACTTAACGCCGTCTGGCACGGGCCTTCACCACTTGTCATAAACATTCAAAATAGCGACTACCGGTAAGCACCGTTAAGTAGTCCCAGAGGGTGATGTAATGTTAACTTACAGTTTATAAACAGTCATCTTGTTTTCATACAAAATCTTCGATAAGCCAGCTGCAGAAGGCCCATATAAGCATGAGTATATGATGAACACGTTGACGGATTTAGGTTACACTGATTGTTCTTTTGCCACTTGGTGACCCTGTGAATTACTAGAAAGTAACATTTGCAAAGCAAATCATATACCTTCACACGGTCTAGCCTAACAAACTACCGCTCTAGATCTATCTATTCTTTCTTACTAAGTTAAACACATCTGCATGTAAATGGTGACCACGCGCCTCCAACTTTGTCCTGCCACTTGCTACACAATCCGACACAGGATGTCAGCCATAGTTACCATGGTGACAGCCGTCTGGTCCAGGTCATTGACCGTATTTGTTTGTGAATTGCAACGGAAGAAGAAGAAACGGAGCAAAAACAGTATGATATTTCCCTCTGCGAAGGTTAACTAAAACATATTATGAATGCCGCCGTCTTTATCAATGAAGGTTCATCGCGATACTGTTGGGTTATCACTGATCAGCCACTAGGGAGACACCAGTGAATTTATGAGGTCCGTCACTCCAGTGGAAAGATACAAATCGGCGTTTCTGTTCGAAGGATGCTAATCTAGAGATAAGGAACGAGGCAGCGGAACCTTGCGATATCCACGGAATGTATGTGCAAGATACAGTCGTGTTGACAAGACCGTGTACGCCGCGTGCTCGTAATGTTAACATAGGAGTTCGAAATGGCCATGATAATGCATTAACCGTATTCCATGTGCAGAGTGAATCGTAAGCTTTTTCTTAAAGAATTTTGAATAACAACTCTGACCTGTTGATAAAAAAAATTGTTCAAAATTCCTCGATGTCGAGGAAGGATGTCAAGTAGCCGTTCTTGAGACTGTATATCCATTTCATTACCGCAAATTTTAGAAAATAAAGAGCTCATATTTTTAAAGTTCATACTCGGCAGTGCAAGCCGAGGAGTTTCCTCTTCACAGACAGACGTTTGAATGCCAAAACATTACTGTTTCTGTTGTGGTAGTCTCTCATCGTTGTTTTCACATATTTGGCATTGAAATCCAATAAGATTAGTCACGGAAAGGGTTTTCCATGACGCCTATCGGCACGGTAACATATCTATAGGAATCCCCCCTTACTGTTTTTGTAACAGTAAAGCAAAGAACAGTTAAATCATCAATCTGCGTCTAGCCGTTAAAATAAAAGGTTGATAACTTCCGGATGTCTGAGACCATGTCGAGTCGAAGGATTCATGATCAAGGACGCTATTTTCTCCAAGCAGATGCTGGGAGTGAATTTCCAGGGCGAGGGACTGTCAGATTTGGCAGGCAGTTTGACGCTACGATTTTCGACCCTAACATCTGCTTGGAGATGGCAATGATACAAGCGTTCGCAGCAACCTCAGCAACCTCAGCCTTCAAATTTACTAGCCTCTTTCGCAGACTTGTTGGGTGTCGGCGTTATTTTTTTCTGTGAGCGACGCGAGTAATATGCCGCGGAGGGACGATTTTGCCGCCCCTAGGCCTGGGAGTTTTGCCACGGAGAGAAGGTTTCCCGCTCCAACAAGAGCGGGAAACTCGCGTCGCTCACAGAAAAAGATAACGCCGACCCCAACAAGTCTGCGAAGGAGGCTACAAATTTACCATGTTCTTGTAGAATTGGAATAACGCACAACATGGGGCTTGCCCACAGTGGAGTCTTGAAATGATTCAGGGACATACGGTGAAATGATGCTAAAGAAGCAATGATTTGTGCTTTTCTGAATTGTCTTGCTCTTTGTGTACATGTCAGACCAGAGTGAATGTGACATCTCCAGCTGTTTTAATAAGGCAAAAGTTTAATAATAAGGCCGACAAATTGAATGAAATATCCGTGCCAAAAACTGATCCCGCGTGCCAGACAGGTTAGTGTTCAATCTCTATTAGCCGGGACAGGGTTAGCGCACAGGTTGGTTGGTGAAACATGCGGGTCAGACCCTACCATGGAATCCAGAACTCGTTTTCCGGGCCGCAAGAGCCCTTCGCCCGCTGGTGTAAATTACCGCTACGGGAGAGTCTAGCCCGGGGGAGTTAGGCTGGCCGTAGTAAAGGTCCGGACAAAACCCCTCGGGCTCAACTCCCCCGTAGCGGTAATTTAGATAGGCGGGCGAAGGGCTCTTGGCTGCCGAAGGAAAACGGGTAACGGCCCGATACTAGTTTGGCATCCAGGGTAGTCAGACCCTTGGCATACCTAGACAGTCGTGATGGACGCCGTTCCCGTAATACCCCGCCTCACAGATACACTGGTACTGCCCCGTGTGCGTGCCGCACCTGTGCGGGAAAGAAAAAAAAATCCGCAACATCGTCATAACAACAATTCCAATATTCTCTTAACGATTTAATATCGCGGTGACACCGTGACCCCAAGTCCCGCGAGATCTCGCGTGAGGACATTCCGGACAAAACGTCACGTTCCTCCCGCATCCATCACTCCGTCCCGGAAGGCGCCTGACAACATGTTTGCCAGCGGCATTCCCCCGCCGAACGTAAAGACCCAACCTCTGCGTCTACACCAATATAAAACGATTTGTACAAAATAAAACGGGGAAGTGCTAGTAACTCAAACCAGTCTTTGCCTCTCGGATATCGGTGAAATACTAAGGCCACAGCAAGTAATTTTTATGGATGACATCAGCGCGCGCATTAATTTTTGCCTGATTTTGGGAAAAAAAATTTTTTGCCTTCTGACAGTGGTCAACATGCCGAAAATGCGCAAAGATGTCTGTTGCCATGCCGGAATGTGGATGACAGATAACTATGAAGAGAGGAAATAAGAAAAGGCTCTGATTTAATGTTTCTTACTATGATGCAGTGATATGTGATGCTGGCTGTGTATACGTGATATTCTCACTGAATCAAAACCATTTGTACAATGAGTGAGTCAAAATTTTAAATTGTAGGAACCTTTTTTTTCGGCCTGCCTTGTTTTTTTTCGCCCGCTCGCATTAGATTTGGAGTCTGCGGAGGATGTCATCCATAAGATTTACTTGCTGTGGCCTAAAGATCAGCTCCGCATTTTACTTGTGAGATTTCTCACCTGCATGAGGCCGTGACGTCACAACACTTGTTGCCCTGTGGGCACAGCTTCCAGCATTTGTCAGGTGTCTCCAAGATAAACTCTCCGCCGTGCAGATCTGTGGGGAGAAAAAGGTCTTGATCTAGATCTGTTCTTATAAAACTCAATTTATTAATGATATTTTGTGTGTTCCCTAAAACTACGTAATTCAGCCTTTTGTACAATACATTGTATTATTAGGCTGCAATACTGTTTTAGTTTTATGTCAATTTGCAAACAAACCATTTATATTTCCAGATCCTTTGTAAAATAATGAAGTTGAAAGTTAAAGTTTATTCTACTAAAAGATACCAGCTCGCTGCTGTCGTGCTTGTACGTATACGGCTTTGTGGCCAAAGGCTATAGATCGAAACGGAGATTGGCGCCGCCCTATACACCATTTGGTGTGGACAGGAATTTTATCTTTTTCGCTAATTAAAGATAATCCTAATTAAGCCTTCGTCGTATCCACATATGTTACTGTTACTGTAAATTGGAGCTTGGTAAAGAGATCAACGACTAGATTAGTACTGTGGCCGTTTTTTTTCCAGAAAACCATGGTGAAATAGTCAAATGCTTTCTTCACAAGCTTTCTATGTTTCTTCGATGTATCTTAGATCCTAAGAACTTGTTTTGCCCGCGCGAAGCTGTAACATGTCTGAGTGCGGGTGTATTTAATGGTGTAATGTCAGCGCAGGGCAGTGTGTCAATCCGGGGGTTAGCGGCCCGTCTCATTCCCCTTAAAAGCGCAGGTCTGTTTACCGGCGGTGTAACGACCATGTACAGGGTACTCCCCCTCCTGACCTCCCTAACTGTGAGACTATTTATGGTGATTGCGCCGTGAAGGAGTGAGGACTGAGACGTAAGGGGCGTTCTTGACGTCCCGGTGTTGAGCCAAATCCTTGAGCTGCCACATACGTGATAGGTCAGGTGTTTAGGACTAGGGTTAGGGTTAGGGTTAGGGTTAGGGTTAAGATTAGGGTTAGGGTTTGAACAATGATCCCAACTCTAACCCTAACCCAGGGCTAGGGTTAGACCTACGATTGGGGTTAGGTTAGGTTAGGTTTAGTCTCTCACATCACGACTTAACCCATTCCCATTCCTTGTCTCAGGAATATTGGAAACCCCAAAGTAAGTAGTGTTAGAGCCATGTATATGGCTTGACACCGGGGCTTGACGGGGCAAAGGCCACGTGAAAGGCTTCACAGGTGTCAGCCAGGCTGTAGCTAACAGGTGACGGCAGCCGGTGTCTTGGATGTGGAGAGATATACAATAACGAAAGAAAGTTTATTGCAAGTCCTTGCCCGTAGGCTAATTGCAACTACATGTCACATGAAAATAAAGGTTGGACAACGGATAACAACATAGTAGGTGACTTCTCTAATTACCAAACTGGGTTCTATTTCTTTTTCCGAGACAGTGGAAGACGAATGATCCCACTTTTTCTAAGGTGTGGGGTTTTGTGATGTTTAGAGGAGAGCAGTTTTCTTTTTGTCTGTAAACCCGGTGAACTTAGGATGAATTTGTTGGCCTCTTTCGTGATAGTAGAAGGGGCAGTTTGGAATAAAATGTGTTTCGTCTTCCACTTTGTTTGACATGAAATATATACCAGAATAATTTGCCAATACTATAGGAAGCCAAGCAGTCGCAAAATGACACTTACATGCACAATACTTCCTACCACTTCCACTAACTAAGAGGTGCTGTTTTTCAAGGAAGGAGAAAGTGTCACAACTTGAACTTGGCATGTCTACAGACACGTACTCAAGTACCCAGCCCCTCAGATCAGGATTCACTTCATTTCCGTTCGCAGGAAAAACTTTGAGTGATTTCCAAGAATTTAGTGAGAGGGAGAAGGAGAGACGACCAACAAACGAAGTGCCTTTCTTCACAGGTCAGACGCCGAAATGAGCTGGAGGTCAAGTTGATCTTGCCCTGACATTTCCTGCCTGATACCGCAGAGGAAACGGAGATACTCTAGAAGTCTCGTGAAGTTTCCAAGCTAAGGCATGATACGTTTTAAAGCGATACGCTAAACTAAAGGGTTAGGCCATGTTGATTTGATTATATGGATGACATCCACGCGCGCATGAATTTTCGGCCGTTTCCAAAAAAAAAAGTTTTCAACCATACTGTAAATCGTACAAAACAGTTGCAAAATGAGCAAAAATATACCGTAAGTTGCCAAAAAAAAATTAATAACAACTATACCAATGTCGTAGAATGCCAAAATCAAACGAAAAAAGACGAAATTGTAAAGAAATGAACTTGAAGATTAGATTATTCGCCAAACCATATTCTGTCCCATTTGTTCAACCCTCATGACCACGTAGATTTCATAATGCAAACAACTTTTTTTTTGCTAATTTTTTTTTTTATTCGCACGCGCGCATCAGTTTTGGGGCTCCGGCCCGGAAGATGTCATCATCAAATCAACATGGCCTTAATGATAAAGCTCAGATTGTCAAATCGTGTTGAGCTGGTCCTATTTTGCACATTTCTCCTGGTTTGGCAGGTGTCCCAAATGCCCTCTCCTGACACATGGGTCTGGGTTTAGGGTGAATTATCTGACAAGTACCTCCATGACAAATGACGCGTTACCAATTATTTCATGCGTCAATTAGAAGTATATTCTTCTTTTCGTTAGGCCACACCAATTTGATTTGTTGGTTCTCGTCTTTTTTTTAGAAAAAAAATGAAGCCACAGGGAGAGAAAAAAAAATGAAAACATCCTATGATAGCCCGGCCAAGTGCTATCATAGGAGCCATGAAGTCAACATACCAGGCTGGTTCGTAATAATATCAAACAGTGAATTTCGAACTTTTAATCAAACCATGCATTGAAAGATGGAAAAACTAACAACTCTGAAGAAAAGGGACTTTCTTTAACCGTTGGGGCCGAATGTAAGCATTTTCTAGTTGATTCAAAGGCTGACATCTTTTTTTTTTGTTGTAAGTATATGAAGCGGGTGAATCTAAAATTAAGTTGGTGTGGCCTTATTTATCGCCATATAGTTCAGGAGACTATTACAAACATTGTGGTGTCCCACTCAATTTGAAATCTTATGCTGACGTCAGCACGTATGGAATTGTAGTATTAATAAGCTACGAAATTTCTGGACACATCAGGCAAAGAAAACTATCACCGTCGCCAAAGCACTACACCAGAAGTCAGGTACGTGTATTTCGCTAACGTGACAGAAGGCACACACGCAAACAATACCATTTATACTATATTAGTTACTTAAATAGCCTAAGTCTAGTCTGCAGTTATGTAGAACTCCTCTATATCATCAAGTAGGCCATATTCCATAGATATTTTATCTTCTTTATGAAATATAGTGTTAATTTCGATACACAGAACTTATAAGCATTACTGTAGACGTTAGAGTAGATATCAGCTAGCTAGATATGTAGTAACTCTGAAGAGCTTGCCATACATTGTACCTGTTAAATTGTTGTGCAATAAGGTTTGACTTTGTAAAAATGAGTCCGTTTTAGCTCTATAAACAACCGACCCACCTACCCTCGTGCAATGCTCGTCTTGCCAAAGCCTCGAACTCGGCGAAGCTGTCGAGGATGTAGCTGTGTTCCTCCGCCGGTTCCGTGGCCATGTTCTGCAGCTCCTGCGAATCCCAAGTGGCCAGATTTGAGTCTATATTACTTTCAATATAGATTACGTTTGGGTAGCCTTTCAGTGGACATTTCAGCCTTTCAGTGGACATTTCAGCCTTTCAGTGCAATTAGGGTAACATGTAAACTGCACCTTAAAGATATAAAGTGTATCTTTGTTACATATTTTGTATGACCCTTACCTCATGGCCTCAGTGAAAAGTTGCCTGGGAACCGATTATTTGAGCTTCTCATAAATAGACAAATGTTCAAATAAACACAAACATGAGGAAATCGCAAGCAGCCTTTTTAGCGAAGATTTTAACAGAACTGGATGAATGGATGGATGGATGGATGGATGGATGGATGGATGGATGGATGGATGGATGGATGGGTGGATGGGTGGATGGGTGGGTGGATGGGTGGATGGATGGATGGATGGGTGGATTGATGGATGGATGGGTGGATGGGTGGATGGGTGGATGGATGGATGGATGGATGGATGGATGGATGGATGGATGAATGAATATGTTTTGGTGACTATGTCCTTGTATCAATATACATGTACTATTATTTAGCTCTCCAACGGGAGGAAGAAGAATGAATGTACCAGCTATTGATCAAATATCACTTACAGCTACAGTGATGTAAGCAGTGTCATTGTAACGATGAGACAACTGTCAGAAAATATGGCACTAGCTCCAGCTCGGGGTTACTGACTTCTCCGGGCTGTGACGTCTACGTACGTACCTTGACGTTTCCGTTGCGGATCCCGAAGGTGAAGATCTGCACGCCGTTGTGCTTGAGTTTTCGCGCCTCGGGGAGGGGGTCCCCGCCGTTGGAATAGCCGTCAGTCACCAGGAACACCGCCTTGGTGGCGTTAGGACGGGCATGGCGGAGTACCTCCTAGTGAGAACAGCATAGAAACATTATAGAAAGTTTATTGCAAATTCATGCCCGAGGGCTAATTGCAAGAACATGATAACAACAGTAAACAGTAGAATGATAATAAGTGATGCTAATGCTACTTTATATATACATTTCAAGCATGACAGTTCATCTGTGTTGGTAGTTACATATTTAGAGTTAAAAGTTTTGATCCGGCCATTTACATCGGGGCCCATCACCGCGACGGGGGCCGACATCGTCTACCAATACCTTTGACCCAGTGTTGACGTCACACTTCAGAGAAGCCACGTGACAAGCTTCACTGGGTCAGTCTACTGAGGAAGACCAGAGTGACTGGTCAAAAGCTCTAGGTGAGATAACTTCTGTTGGATCAAAAGTTTTAACTTAATAAACATTATGAAGCAAGTTAAAACTATAATTTCCAACACAAAACGTTAACAATGGACTTACCTTACAACTTACAAATTGCTTCATAATCACTTCTACCAACACAGACGAACTTTCAAGATAACATAGAAACATGTTCTGTATCGTTCTGTATTAAATTTGGGGCTAGACCATTTCGATATAAATGTGTTTTTCTTAGCACTCAGCACATGGAAGTTAAAAACACCTTACTATATGTACAATTGCGAGGCCCAAGGGCTATACAAACGAAGACGGGCGCGAACATATTGTATAAGTTAAAACCACATGGTGTAGGAAAACACCGATCACAAGATGCTAAAGTGTGAAATGAAGACATGTCGTGTTTACAGCAACTTTACATTGACGCGTTAGAATCATTATGATAATAACTTTATTGCGCAACAATTGTACAGTGTACAAAGTATGGCATCTACTAACTTAAGTAAGTACATATCAACTACATTTTCATAAGGCTAACCTAACTAATACAAAAGTGGGTGGCTAGTATGAGATAGGTATCAACTTATACAATCGTTGAAGGAGTTTCTAATATCCATACAGTCTTTAATATATATCCCTATGTATAGCATGTAGGGGTTGTCACAAGTCAATATGTATTTAAATTTTCTTTCCAAGTTCATTGTGGTGAATGTTGGGAAAGAATCTGATAGTCTAGTGTATAGTGCATTGCGTACATTAATATATTTAGGACACACAATCAAAAAGTGATATTCGTCCTCAATAAGCTCTGGACAAAATGGACAAACCCTCTGGTCATTGGGAATTTTATGGAATCTTCCGGTTTCTATACTAGGTTTGTGACAGCAATGGAATGTGTGCTCATCTTAGCATTGCGTAGGTATCAACCTAACATCGTGTAAGAACCAATGCGCACCCAACGTAACATTGTATAGCAATCAATGCATGCTCATCCTAACATTGTGTAAGAATGAAGATGCGTGTTCCTCATCACATTTTGTAAGAGATAATGCGTGTGCACCTGATAACATTATGTAAGAACCAATGCTCAACCTACATGTAACACCTTGCCACCTGCCAAATTATGTTAACTCGGTACATCTTGCACGGTACCATAGGTCGTTGGTTAACCTCTCGTACGACCAGTCTTGTAAAAGTACTCAGGTTACACAGCCTCTATGAGAGACGTGAAAACCTGTGCCGAGAGTTTGGGAAAAAAACTGTCCAAATCAAATCTCTATCACCACTGGCTCCCTCAGACAAGAGGCGAAGTAACGGGGAGGTCAACAAGGCAAAACAACAAATTCGACCCTATTCTAGCACGCACGAAGCGGTACTCCAAGAGCCCCTTGCCCTAGCCTAAATAGTAAAACTCCTAAATGAGTCAATGTAACGTATTGTCTTTTAACATGTATATATAAAGAGATCATGTAAATACGTGGAAATCGCAATTCAATTTTATGTATAAGTTCTGAGCTAGAAGGATATTTTAAAGTTGTATTTTAAAGTTGTTAAGGTGGACACTGATGTAATGAAACATGCAATTCACCCTCCGGGCTGCAAAATGTTTTAATCAATAAACCAGTCATCATCATCATCAACTCCGACAGTCGATGCCAAACAAACCCTGCATAACTGTCTCGTAGATGACTGTACATTTCGTAATTAACAAAATAAACATTAGACCGCGGCCATCCGTTATTTCATGGAAACGTTAGATGGGTCTTTTCCGCTGCATTTCCAAGTGTGACGTTTCTCTGAAAGTCTGCCGTTTAATGAAAGGAAGTTGGCAAAAAGACACTTCATACTCTCCAAGCAGAGGTTGTGGGGGAAAGATCGTTACCTTTTTATATATGGCCGTTTTTTTTTCCTGACCCCCACCCGTCGGTGGCTGCCGACCTTCTCTGGCCAATGGATACTGCCTGGCCAATTTGATACTGTCGTTTTACCACCGAAAGGGATCTACTTGAGATTAACACTTCACATAACTGCTCATCAAGGTTCGAACGACCGTTCCCGAACCGTTTGCGTGTGGAGGTAAGAGTAGCAAATAAAGGAAGAGCTCTTCGCGTAGCCAAGTTCAATGTTACGCCGCCAGATGGTATGGTGTCCAGGGATTAGCACGGGATCAAGTCCAGGGTTTTACCAATTAATCTCAGGACGGGAGGGTTTAAAAGGGAAACACCGAGCCACAAACAATGCAGGCATCCCTACAGGTGCAAAGGCCAACGTGCGAGGAGGGAAGGAAAATACGTCCCCAGCTGAGTTTGGGCTCGAGTCATGTGTCTTTGGTATTCAACAATATCACCGGGGAGTTGTCTTCGCGCTTGTGAAAACATTGTCAAGTTGTACCCGTAACCTTTCTGCGGTGCCTGAAAAAACGTCCGAGTCAATAAGAGAAATGTTTGGATACTAGCGTTGAGGGATTTCCTTTCCCCGGACGGAGCTTTGCCAATAACGCCGGGGCATTGTTAGGGGAGGGGAAAGGCACGTAGAAAGCTATATACATGTCTATTGTGGAGAACAAGTGTTCCGTATTTGGGCGGGTCGGGAGGCCGAGACCTGGATGTGGAGTCCCGGCAGCGCGGAGTGCAATTTGTCTGGCATGTGGGCTAACGGCCGCGCTGAAAGCAGCCGCGAGCCTTATCGTTAGGAAATGTCTATTACTTCCACTGATGAAGGACGGGGTCACTCGGCCCGCTCACGAGGTCTCCTGCTGTTGTGAACTACAGCTACCGTCTGTTGAAAGTAAAGTCAAAACGTTTAACTTGAGTTATAGCTAGTTAAACATCAAAGGCAAACTTACCTGTGCTTTTATGATGGCTCCCTTGGTGTATGTGCCCCCGCCGGCGTATTTAATTCTCGGTAGCTCTTCTTCCAAGAGAGAACACTTGTGCTTGTGGTAGCTGGGTTTGGACAAGTGGTCCACATGGTTGACTACCTTGTTGCGTGAGGAGAAGGTAACGATAGCCACGCGTGCCGCATTCTCCGCGAGGGTAAAGTCGGCCAGGAGCTTCTTCACGAAGCGGAGCTCGCTGTTGAAGTTCTCGTTACCGACACTGGCGGAACTGTCCACCAGGAAAACAAGTTCGACCGTCTGGTTTTCCGTCTGTCTCAGGCGCTGGACGTGCTTCTTGAAGATCTCGCCCAGGATTTCCACTTTGGTGCGGGGAGAGTCGGGATCCAGCCCGATCTGCAGCGCGGAGGGATCGTCGTTGACGGTCCTGTCGGATCCCCGGGCGTCCCATCCCGTCCCGCGGGACAACAGTGAGAACAAACAAGTCAGAACCGGGACCACGCTGCCGCCCAACATCCCGAACTCGCGCGCTGTGAGCTGGGCTCCTGTCCGGGAGAGATGCCGTCTATCAGCCGACGGTGTCCTCCAAATTCACAAATTCCTCCCAATGACAGGACAGATCAGGAATTCTAATTGCCCTAGCCGCCCGCCGCCGTGCTCTTAGGTTGAAAGCAAACAGGGCTGAGGTTATCACGATTGTTTATGCCTGGCTAAGACAAGAGGCTTTACTCTGGTCCAGGCTCGTGCTCACCAGCCAGAGGTGCCCCGCCGAGAGCCGGACTCGATGATTAAAAGCCTGGAAAACACACCTGTCAGCGGGAAAAAAGCGGGGCACGGGCCCGCTCTCTAGGACTGATGATCCTACTCTACAACCTACGACTCTTCACTCCCCGGCCTGGCGTGTCAGCGACATGACCGTGCGTGGGCAAGGGCCTGTTTTCCCAACCCTTTGCGCAAGCGTGTTTGTTTATACACTCTGGGACTTACATGACTCGCGCACGGTTGGCAGAGAGGTCGGTTCAACATCAAACCATGCACGATACCGGGACGTCACATCACACAGAGATGGGCAGTAATTCAGTTATCGTATGAGTCACGTGCTCGTCACGTGGAGTTATAGTTTTCATTTCTGTCGTCTGTTTCGCGAGCCCCGGCTGCCATCTCCAGACTTCGCCCAGGAGGAAGTTAAGTAAACATTTTTGAGTCGAACGAAAACTTCCTTCCGTCTATACCAAAAGAAGAGAGGCTTTTAAAGCAGCATGGCTCGCGGTAAGAAGTCCCCCCGGGGTCTGTTGTTTAGCTTTTCCCCGGCCACAAGAGACGCCCTGCTCACTTTCTTCGCCACCAAGCAGCCCTCTGGAATTTGCTGAAATCTCTGAGAAGCGAGTTTTTCGACGTCTGACATTGAGCATCAGGGCGTCTGGCGTAATAGTACTATTTTAACTTTAAGGTCTCTTCTGGCACGGGGCACGCTTATAAGTGATACTAAGAAAACAACAATTACGTTGGCGTAAAGTTATCCATAGTCTGCAGTTTACCGTGCCCCTAAATAGACGTTGATAATAACGTGCGTCATTATAACATGCTGTTGACTGAACTGTGTCAAAGCCAGCTTATATATTTCCACGGCAAGGTACAATATTTATACAGAGGAGTTTTGTACTTCCTTCTCTTCTTGAGAAGACACGAGACTGTTGAAAGATGCACACGTCCTTTCCGAGAAGTTTCAAGGAACTTTTATGATTCAGGCTTAAGATGTTCAAGTACATTATACTTCCGCTGTATACAGTAAATCACAAAGTTCGCGCCAGTGGTCCGTACCTCCTGTGCGCTTTAAATTTGCGGTATTCATTGCTTTCGGATATCTTTTGAAGAGTATTTCCATATATTGTACACACTTGTTTCACTGTTGTATCATAAATGGTATCTATGTGAGTTTTTCCAACTTCATGTATCTCGTTAGATTTTAATAACCCTGTTTTCCATACATGGCAAAGAGAATTATCATATAAAATGTGTCGATTTTAACTAGAGTTTCTAACTACAAAATGAGATATTAGAATTGAATATTACGTAGTCTATCTACAGGCGGCGGGGGGGGGGGCACGAAGATATGTCTGTTTTGTAGATTCTAGAGTTCGCCTCCTACTGTCCTTGACCAGTATCCTTGGATATCAGTATCAATAGTTAGCCCTGACATCCTCTGTTCACTACAGTAGAGTAGTAGTACCAACGGGTAAACCGTTTTCTTGTGGGAAGGGGATGGGGGGCACAATTGTCGATATACGTCACTGCAAGGATCAAAGTAAGACCACAGATCGGATGGACGAGTTTCAACAAGCCGTCCAACTTTGCTCCAACAAAGGCTTGGCAGCTGTATGTCTGCTGGCTGCCTGCCCACCGTGACTGGAGCAGACAGCCTCGGCTGTGACGTGTGCAGGCCGCCGCAGACACTGTTGACGTACGCGTTCTGTTAAGGCCACAGCAAGTAAATTTTATGGATGACATCTTCCACAGACTCCAAATCTAATGCAAGCGGGCGAAAAAAAACAAGACGGGCCGAAAAAAACAAGCTTAAGGTTCCTACATTTAAAAACTTTTGACTCAATCATTGTACAAATGGTTTGATTCAGTGGGAACATCACATATACACAGTCAGCATCACATATCACTGCATCAAGTTGAGAAACAAAACATTAAATCAGAGCCTTTTCTCGTCTCCTCTCTTCATAGTTATCTGCCATCCACCTTCCGGCATGGCAACAGACATCTTTGCCCATTTTCGGCATGTTGACCACTGTCAGAAGGCAACAAAATTTCTTGTTGTTTTTTTTCCAAAATCAGGCGAAAATTAATGCGCGCGCTGATGTCATCCATAAAAATTACTTGCTGTGGCCTAAGGTTGGAGAAAGATAGCTTTGGGCACGGAGTGCCAGGCACCGCCACTAACGTACTTGTCAGTAGTGTATCAAAATAATTATCTTAGACAACACAAATGATCCGGCGGTGGGTTGGCATAGTTTGGTCCCCACAGGAGTCGGATCAGGTTGGATTTGGTACTGTTTGGACCCTGACTTTAGATGATATACTCACGTTCTGGTGTTTAAAGACCGCGGTCGTTGTACATGTTACACGATTTGGCTATAGTTCAATCGTTGTAATTTATCAGAGCCTGTCATTTTTCTTGCGCCTCTAGTCACTCTCTCTCTCCCGCTCTCTCATCCCCTCCATTGTATAGCCGTATCAGACATTTTTGAACAAAAGAAGGATTCAATCTGTCATCAATGTTACAGTATGATGCTTAAGCACAGGGGACATTTTGGTCCAGGGGCTCTTCCGTTGGCCAGGTAATATATGGATATCTCAATCACTACATTTACCGCCCTGGCAAACTTTACATCCTGTTATATAGTCAGCTGTGTAGCGTGTGGAGTAGTACTGTGGACCCACCGTCAAGTGGCAGAGATAGTCTCCTGTGCAGACCATCACTTTCCAGCGCTTTCTTCTATGAGCGCGGTGCGTGGTTTCTTGCATGTCGTTGACAGAGCTGTGTTGGTATTGGGGGAGGGCTGTATGGGGTACTCTCCAAGCAGAGGTTTGGGTTTTGGGGGTATTTTTAGCGTGTTAACGTTTTTAGGCTTTTTTTCGGGGTTTCTCTTTTGCACTGAATTTTTTTTTTTGGGTTTGGTGG